CTAGAGCATGTGCCAGCTCCACAGCTGTCTTCTCCTAATTCCAAAAACCTCATCTGAAATTAGCTTTTGTCTTTGAGTACTCAAACTAAGATTTGGCTGCCTCTTCTAACCATATTTTCAGAACGAGGAAGTTTTGTTTCAGTGAAATAATCTTTAAATATTCTCTTTTGATTAATTCATTGAGTAAAACAGTATTGTGCCTTGTTGGAACACAGCGAATATAACTAGAAGAACAACAGTGCATTTACTCTTGCCTAATTTTTCTCAGCTAGGTAAGAAATGAAGACTAATATGAATATATACATATTAATATCCTCAAACTATAGCTTTCAGTTCCTGAAGACACAGAAGCCAAAGTAACTCCAGTTATAATAGTACACGGTGAAGTGGAGCATGTACCTCATGATACATATTTGAGAAGCTTATTCCTTTGGCCTCTCTTGCATTAATCAGTTAATTAACAATTACTCTGTTCTTTAGTGAGGCATAAATGGTAAAATGTAAGATTGTAATCCTATATACTTAAGCGGGTGTTTTAGGTCCTCGTTTAAGAGTTACTCAGGTCCCATGTGATTGTGAACACCCAGTTTGAACTGACAGCAAACACATACCAGTGCTGGTGAGTTGCTTCATACCCTCAGGATGATTTATTTGTGTGTACTTGGTGGGATATCAACTGCAAACTTGAAGGGCTGGCAGTACAGAAAGGGTCATCAGTGCAATATCTTTGCCATTCCCATAGCTAAATTAAAGAACTTGCAATCTTTGTAAGCCAATATGATGGTACCTTTCCACTGTAGCATTAAGGTAAAGAGGTTTCTCAGAGGTGTAATCTAGACATAGCACCAGCTTCTAAGACAGGTCGGAGTTAGTGGTCTAAATCTTCCCATTTGTCCTTTTTTTCTTAAATCTCTTCAAATTTAATTTCTAGTCTGTTTGGAGCTGACTGCTAAATTTAAATGAGCTTAGTTCTCATGGTCGTAGTTCTCATGATCATGTAAATAAATTCAAATCCTGGAGAAAATATTGAGTAACCTTGATATTTACAGTGCTAGAAATATGTTAATGTGCCTTTAATTTTTTTTCCCTGTTAGAAGTTTACATTTTATTGCAGATTCCTCAGTTGAAAATGTTGGAGTTCCCAGTGTTAGTCCCATGTGGAAAAAAAAACCCATAGAGTTGAGATTTTGAAATAAAGCAATTATAATTTCACTTTGATTCGAAATCAGTTTCCTTCAAGGAACAGGAAAAAAATTTACATGGTAATGAAACATTTTAAACTGCCACTCAGAACCATATTTTATATTTCCCTCTGTAAAAACTGATCATCAAAAGTATCTAAGATGTTTGCACATAAATTCTAATGAGCTCTACTTATAGCATTTTGGTAAATGAGTGCCTTTGGAAGTACTTTGTGTAAAGCCACTATAAATCAATGTCCACATACTTGAAGACTGTGTTTCCTAGAGTGCTGAAGTCTGTGCTTTTTAAAGAAAAATAACAGTCAGTGCCAACACTTAGTGCAACCGATTAGTTTTCAGTATATTGCTTCAACTATTTAATTTGTAAGCAAATCAACAAGCTTTGCCACAGCACTGTCCTTCAGGGAATGAGCTACCTGCTTGGTTAGAAACAACTAGTTTTGGCTGGAGAGGTTGGAATAAGTGTAAAAAAGAAGCTTGAAATGGGGAAAGCAAAATTATGCTCTCCTGATTATCTCAAAAGTAATTTTTCGTAGCTGAGGTTTTGGAGAATGGAGATATTGGCAACTGTGGTTTAAGACAGAGAGGATGAGAGAATTTTGATTGCTTGGAAACTGTAAGCATCTGAAAAAAAAAAATTGGGCATTATGAATCTGGGTCATGGCAAAGACTTGTCCTCTTCAATTTTGTCCAGTTTCTTAAAGCCACAGACAAAAATGGCATTGTATAAATAGTCCAAGAAAACCTGTTAAATTTCCCATCTCAGCCCGTCATTTCCCCATCTTCTCAGCTGAAGTGGTGTACCTGAGGATCAAGTGCTGTGGCTTTTTTCTGTAAGGGCAAGTGCTGGGGATATGGAGGGGCATGCAAGGAGCAACTGGCCCACCGACAGGAGGGATGGAACCACGGCCCAAGCATTGCATCTGGTTTGAAAATGTACCCTCACCCCAAAGCAGGGGTGAAGGAACACTACTCTGAGCCCTCCGCAGGAAATGGTAGATGGTGGTGGTGACACCAGGAAAGGGATGGCAGCAGTGAGAAGTTTCCTAGACTGGGCTGGCATCACAATTCACTTTAATTAGAGCAGTTGTGAAACAGTAAACCAGAGCATTTCCCCCTCTTTTGGTTATTCTTCACTTAGGTCATAAACTGTTCACGTAGCAGAACATTTCTCACTGCAGTGACGTAATTACCCTTTAGGTCTCACCAAGAGCAGTAGGGTTTGCTGTATGGGCTGGAGGGAAGGATGTCCCTGTGCTGTCGCTACAGCATGGTGGGAGATGACGGGTTAGGCAGGAGGCATGTTCCCAGCCACAGCAGTGGTCTGCAGTGCTTCAGGCTTGCTTGTTTGAATGTCCTACACTGTGGTTTTCTGAACACTTGAACAAGTGCATCTTCACGTGTATAAATGACTTAAGTTACCAAAAGCCAATTCTTTGTTACCACTGGCATAGTTGTTTGAATGCACTTTGGCACATTTGAAGAAAATCACTGCTGCTGTTTCTGTGAGAGAGCTGCCTCTAGGAAATATCGGATTAAATCTGTGAACTCTTTCCATCCTGATAACACTTAACATTGCAAAATAAAATAAATCAGGCTTTATAGCAGAGCTAGCATGTTGAAGGAAACCTAAAAGGCACTTACAGTGTGGGTAAGGTCATCCTGTAGTCAGCGTTTACTAAGAAAGACTGAGTTGTTGAGACCTTTCTGTTTTTTGAAATTACATTTCCTGTCAGTGAAACTACTTTTGATTATACCTGTCTGTTTAATGTCAGGAGTCACTATTCATTTTTAATTGACATGTGGCAGCTCTTTCAGGGCTGTGCAAAGTTAGCTTTGTGTGAAGATTTGACTGTATAATTGGGTGGAGTGGCTGGATTTGATTTAAAAATAAATCAGAAGAAACACTTGTATACTAAATATGGTTTATAATTAATCATATGGTAATATACAATTAATTGTAATTAGCGTGCTGTACAATTAAGTATACTTACTTTGCTTTTTCTTAAGAGTAAAAAACATCATGTTCCTTTCCCCCTAATTGCTTGGTACAGAATTGCAGCATTTGTAGCACATCCATGACGGCTGCAAACACTTGGATCTGTTTCTCTCAGAACAAATTTTTGCTTGCTAAAATCCATTCTTGACATTATTTATAGTTAGATTATGTGAATAATGTAAACACATGTAAAATCGTCCCTGTATTTTTTATGTAAGGAAATGTAGCTGTACTGCCAGTGACAATTGGATGTAAAAATCTGTTTATAAATAGAGGTGCTCCTGAGGGTAGTGAATTGATGGATCAGGACAGACTCTGAAAAGCAGGATTCTCTGTGGCCAGTATCTGAGAGGTGATGAGCATGCAGGGGATTTCTAGTACTAATGCACTCATATTTCTTCTTGCCTTTCAACCCTTAGGGATATGCTTTCCACAAAATTCAAATATATGCAGAGAATGTAGAAGCCTCTAGTTGAACGTGGCAGTTTGTCTGCTGATGCAGTGCGTGGGATGAAAGCAAATGAGGGGTGTATTGCTGTTTAATCATATGTGGATGTGAAACAACTTATGCAGCACCTTGAAGGATAGAACTGTTTTTGTCTGTTTGGAACATTATTGGTAAAGGGCTATGTGTTTACATGTGTAATTGGCTGAACTCCAAATTGCAGGCAGAATTTTCTTTGTCTTCCTTTAATTTGTGTGGTTTGGTTCTTCCCTCAGGTTTTTGTGTGTTGCAGGATGTAGGCACAGACTGTGGCAGCTCACAGTGAACACAAGCATAAACCATTTTATTTTTTTTCCTGTATGTATAATTCACTGACTATGAGATTTCCTTCCATGGACGGGTTCAAGCTGTGGCAGTAATTTTATATATGTGAACCCTCAAACTATGAATTAAAAACCCTGTGCTGGGTGACTTGCAAAAGGGTATTTCAGCATCAGTGACTATATATATAAGTAGGTGTCAGAAAAGAACTTGTTTTCCACTATAATGCATAAATGTTTGTTTGTTTGTTTTTTCATTTGTATAAGCTAGGCAACATTCTCAATTTGGTCAGGGAGGGGATATATAGCAAAAAAAGGACAAGAAAAAATCTTGCTCCTTCTGCTTTCAGAGGTTTCCCTTCCAGACAGGTACCGAGTGGGCTGCTTGGGCAAGAATCCACGCAGGGCCATCGGCAAACGCCACATTCAGCCAGTGGTTGTACCCTCTGGCCTGGAAACAGATGAAATTTCACACCTGTACCATTGCCACCATGCTGGAGCTTGTTTCAGGGCAACACCCCTCAGTGTGTGCAGATAAAGCTGCTAAAAACGTAGAAATACGGGCAGGCTAAGGAGACAGAGTGACACGAATCTGAGCTAGTTTAAAATTTACCTTCATTGTCTCTGGGGAAGGGTTTCTTGTTTTCTCTGGCAGCCAGTGACAAGACCCTAGGGAATAGCCTGAAATTGTGTCAGGGAAGGTTTAGGTTAGATATTGGAGAAAGATTCTTCACTTAAAGGATGGTTGGGCACTTTAACAGGCTCCCCAGGGAAATGATTGCAGCACCAAGCCTGACCAAGTTCAAAGAGCGTTTGGTGTGATTCTTGGGGATGTGCTGTGCAGGGCCAAGAGCTGGACACGATGATCCTTGTTGGGTCCCTTCCAACTCTGAAGACTCTGCGATTCCCCAAAACACCTCTTTGGTGCGTCTCCTTCCTCGCACACATGTGGACATGGAGAGGCACCTAGTTAAGAAACCGATCTGATGCCATTTACATGCTAAATGTGGTTCCTCCGGGTCTCCTGTGACTAGAGGTGTGCTCTGAGCAAGCCGAGACGGGTCCGTGCCGCGCGATGATCTCCCGCTGGTACTTTGACGTGGCCGAAGGAAAGTGTGCGCCCTTCTTTTACGGCGGCTGCGGCGGGAACCGGAACAACTTTGACTCGGAGGAGTACTGCATGGCGGTCTGTGGCAGCGTCAGTAAGTGCCCCGCACGGGGAGCAGGCCTGGGCTCTCACTAACCCCAGCCGCGGTCTGTCCACTCACTGCTGCATCCTCCTCAGCCTCTCGCTAACCTGGCATCCTACTGGGGAAATTCTTGCTGCTGTAGAGGGGCTCTGTAAGTAGGTAGCTAAGAGCCTAACACTTCCTTTAGTCGAGGCCTTCGCACTCACCTTCTCTTAATTTTCTGTCAAAGCGTCCTGATGTTTTGTGTGTCTCCGTGTGTGCATGTGTAGTGCATGTACAGGAAAAAACCCACTAACTTTAGGGAAGCCTCAGGTAAGTTTAAAAGCAACTTGCAGTTTTTACAGTGTATTTTCATGTATTGCTGACCTTTATTTAATCAATGCTAAAAATAATAGAACGTTTATTTCCAGATTTTTGGGGTTTTTTTGTTTGGTGTTAGCTTGATTGAATACTTCATGTTTGCAATGAAAAGGGGTGAATTGACTTTTGATTGTGTAGGTTTCCCTGAGGGCTGCGATGCACGTGTGAATCACCTCCCACTTACTTTAACCATATGTTTTAATGATCATTTTCCCTGCACTGTGATTTTTGGTTTGAGAAGGATGGATTTCTCCATCATAGAGCATTGAAGCTGATGAATTAGACATGAAATTTATCAGCTGGGTTTTGGTTTGAGAGCCAATGGTACACTCCCCTCCCGCCTGCCTTGCTCACATGTACGCTTGGGAGAGTCCTTTACATCTGACACATTGAAGAGGGAGTACATATCTCACTGCCCTGCCTGCTCACAGGGCACGGAGAAGCAGAACAGAAGCAGTGTGTTAGGGCCTCCTGTTAGTGAAATATTTTCCAGACTGGACCTAGGATTCTTTGCAGTACGTAGAAAGCTTAAAAATGCACACAAATGCAGAGCCGTAGGAAGGGGTGCTATGTGTGTCATGCAGCAGAGGAGCTGACCTATATTTTATTGGAGCAGAAGCAGGAGCAGTCATGGAGACAGGATTGCTGCTCTGGTCCTCCAGCTGCATTTCAGCTCAGTGTCTTTTAGAGCTGTCCATGACAAAGCCCCAGTGTGGAGAAATCTGCCACAATGAGTAAGGAGGATAGCTTGTGGACAGGGATCAGCTTCTGCAACAAGACAGATGATGTAGTCTAGAGAGAGAACGGCACAGTAGGCTGGAGTGAGCTATAATGTATTTACTAACAGAAGGGCACTTTGAACCATTAAGTTCCAGTGCTAGGTAAGATGTTTCCAGAGATGCAAAACATGGTTTGTCTCTGATTGCATTCTCTGTTTGGGAGGATAAATTCTCTTCTAAGTCTGGCAGCTCTCTTGCACCATGTGAAGTCAGAAATGAAATAAGAGACAATCTCTATGTGCTATATATTATATTCATCAGGATATTCAGATAAGCCCAGGAGATTCTAGTCTATATTCATTTCAATAAAACAACGCCAAGAGCATTACCATTTGCGTTGTTTCCATAGTTATCTTGGTTTATTTTGGGATTCTCAATTTTTGGTCTAAGTCATTTTCTCTTTAAGGAAAACGCAGTTAGGTTGAATATTTGAGCTGCTTGATTTCATTTGCACAACTCGAGCTGATTTTGTATCTCCCAGAGGCATTTTTGCTGTTAGTTTTTTTCTTCAGTAGTTTCTCAAACATTTGATTCTATAAGGGTATGTTTTCCAAGCCAATTTAGGTTTATTGTTTATTATATAGTTATATATTTATTCCTGTTTTTTCATGTTATGTCAGTGTGTTCTATACCCTGATCTATACGCCTGTTATTTCATTTTCTAAAGTAACTTTGTTTTCTTTTGGTTTCATGTACTGTTTCAGTCTCACTATGCTGTTTCTCCTTATTCATCATTATTTTGCTGACTAGAAATTGTAACAAAAATAATTAGAAGTGCTGAATGCAATTTATTTCAGCACTGAAGTGGCATCTTGTGTTTAGTACTGATCTAATGTTGCTGAAAAAGGTAGTGCAGACACCACCCTCACCCCAAATCCACAGAAGGAAGAAAAACAGTGGAGAACAGTTTCCATCTGGGCCATGCCTGTTCTTTCCTGTCTTTTTTTTTTCCCCCATCACTCTTGACCTAGTCTTTCCATTTGATCTTTCTGCCTCTTCCTCCCCACTTTATATTTATTTATTTATTTCATTCTTCATTCCTTTTCTCTCCAATGCTCACATTACTGTTGCTCCCTTGCTTCCTATTAAAAAAAAAAAAAAGGAAATTGAGCCTCTCTTAGGCAGGAGGCAAGATGCATGGTAAAGCAGATGTTTCCTTTGTCTAGCTATAGTTTTGCTTTTTCTTTTATAGTGGACAAAGGGTGAAAGGGTGGGATGTGAGTCAGTCTTTCTGGTAATGAATTGAAATTGGTCTGAACCAAAATATGAGGATGTTCTGTTGTCACAAGTACTCATATTTTGTGAAATATGAATATGGATATCCTGAACACTGTGTCTTTAAATAAATAAATTCATGCTCTTTTCTGCTTCCTTGCTGAAGTCTCTTTGCCTTGATCTGAAAGGAAGTGTCTGTTCTGTCATGCAAGGCCTTATACTCCCTCCATGATCAGCCGATTTGACTAGTGCTCTGAGGTCTGACAAAAATGATTTGTCTGTTGGGTAGGAACTACTGCTGTCACATTTTTTTCATTCATCCTTCAGCTCCATGGAAATTGATATATAATTGCCCTGAAAGTAGAAGGCTTTAAGGATCTTGTTACCAATTCCTTCAGCCTGCCAGACCACATGCTCAGTCTGTATTGATTTTTAATAAGTATGTTCAGTACTGTCTATGGTTTCTGTTCAATATAAGGATTCAGACTTCTACTGTGTGACTGTCCATAATGGCTCCTTTGAAGTCATTAAGGTCTGTCAGGCAGTTAATTTGGATTTAATGACCTTAGAATGGGTCTATATTGACAAGAATAAACAAAAATGATACACTGATGTTATCAAAGGAATGATTTATTATTATCATACTAAAAAGTAATCTTTTGTACTGCTTTTTTTGCTTGTCTGCTAATTGTTGCATTTTAAACATCCTTAAAGCTATAGGAAGTACATTTTTTTAACACGTGCTAGTTTGAAATTGCATTTATGCTCAAGTCTTAACTTGGGGACTTCAAAGCTGGGAAAATTCCTTCTCTTCAGTGTGCTTCATTTGTCAGCAGTTGCATAGGAGACAGTTCTCCCAGGAGCTCTTACAGCCACAGTACGGTGACTTCTGAGCAGAGTGGAATTCATGCCACCATGTTTCCATTTGTTCCTCACCTAAAGTGGGAGTGAACTGTACTCTGGTGATGCAGTCAATTTGACAAAACTTTGGCATGTCCTTAAAATGACCTTTTATAAATACTGGGTTTTTATCATTGTACTGAATTCATATGGCTAGCAACAGAAGGAATTAACAGGGTTCGGTGTTGTCAATTCCCTTCTTCCTTGCATAAACCCTGACACCTAGTAGGAAGTTTAATTGTTAACATACATGGTTTTATTTTTCATCATTTTAGAGCACTGCCATTGTTTTTTGGGTGACTTTAGATAGAGTAGTATTTTTTTCTCTAGACTAAATAATACTGTCAACTTACAAACTTGCTGAATGTGTTGGTGATTTGTAAGTGGCAGATATTTTATTTAAATTTCTAGTGGAAGGTATGAAAAGAGACACACTAAAAGCTACAATTTTATAATACACGTGGAATTTCACATAATGTAGATTAAATACAGTGCACAAGACAGACTGATATGGAGGATCCATGCTTTCTGGTTTTCATATAGGCTAAATTCAGTTTGCCTGCGGATTAGTATCTGTCTGTCGTTGATAATTGTTCAGATTGATCTTAATGTGTTTCCAGCTGATGCTCTTAAATGAAGGGAAAATTCATGACCTCTAGCATTCTGTAGCGTCCACTTTAATTTCTCCTCAGAGATGTACTGCGAATAATAATCTGGACCTTTTAGAGCAGCAGCTTACAAGATGATACTCCTGTTGTAAGTCATTTACTTTATCCATTGGTTACATGTTTGGGATGTTGACATCTCCCTACTTAGCAGGAAGTAAAATGATTTTGCTGCTAAACTTGCATGCCAACTTCTAGTTGGCATGCAAGTTCTTTAAGGCATTAAAGAACTACAGTGCATCCCCATAAGGAGAATGGTAAAGCACATTTTAGTCCTTTGGTTTATTCGCTGGGTGATTGCTCCTTTTATCTGTACAGGTACAGAGACTGCTTGAGCTTGAGATTGGGTAGGACCTCAGAAACAGAAAGCCGGCCACATCTAGAGCATGTTCATCTGGACTGGGTGATTCTGGCTCTTCGCTTTATGGGAGAGTTGGCAGGCCTCTGTCCATAAAAGCAGCAAGCTTGGAAGTCACTTCATGCCAGGAATACATGTTTTTTTTTGACAGTACACATAGTAGTGGAAAACACTCATCACAGCAACTAGCTACAATATTAATTTGTCATGGCACTACAGGAGATGTAATTTAAAATACAGAAGTCTAGCGATAACATTTAAAATAATAAAAATCTGCTTTTATGAGTAGTGATATTGCAAGGCAACCTTCCATATAACTTAAGTATGGAGTTTTGTATTTGAATAAATAAAATTTCCAAGTTACTAAAATTCACTAAGCCATTCATACTAGGACAACCTGTTCTACGTTACAAAGGCTCTTTATATTCAACTGCTTTACTGTTTCCCAAATTAGCAGTAAAGGGGACATTACTTTAAATGTGTCCCTCTCCGACCATCTCCAGCATGAATTGTCTGTATCTACTGGGTTTTAATTTCTCTGGCATGAAACCTCAGCTAAATTGTGCATCTTGGTATAATTGAGGCTAATTTCAAAGAGCATAGATGAAATCTTGAGAGAAACTTATTTATGCAGTGCTTTATTCCTTGTGAATACTTGACCTGTATCATTCAGTGCCTCGGAGATGTAATGGGATGAGTTCTAATACCATCTATTTAAAGTTAATTTTGACCACC